TTTGATCAACAAACACTGATCAAAGCATTGATCAGTGATAATTAATCAATGACCGTGAGTAACATTCACAGAATTGGGGAATGGCAGCAGTCACAGATGGTGAAAGATGTACCTTTAGGCCCCCTACTCGATTCAGAGATGGTCGTTCCCTTTTCTCATAAATGGCCTCTCTGACTTCCTGCTCAAACCAGCGTTCCTCCCTGTCCAGGGTGTGTACATCATCATCACTGAACGAGTGTCCACTGGTCTGTAGGTGTAAATAGACTGCGGAGTCCTGGCCTGACGAGTTAGCTCTTCTGTGTTTCGCCATCTGCTTAGCCAGTTGTTTGGTTTCTCCGATGTATTGGTGGCAATCCTCCTGGCACAGTGCTACACTACATTACTGTGTTTGTGTTGGGGAACCCTTGGGGTGGACCAGTTTTTAGGCGCAATGTGCTCTGAGGTTTGAAAGCTAAAGAGGTGCTGTGTTTCGAGAAAATGCATCTCAGCTGTTCTAATCCGGACACATAAAGGATCACTAATTTCGCTTAGGCAGCAGTTGTACTTCTCTCCCGGATCGCGTGTAGCTTTCTTTAGGCGCCCTCCCAGCTTTGACAAATGTGCAGCTGGGATGACCACATTTACTCAGGGCCTTCTTGGCAGGATGTTCTTCTTCTTCCCTAGCTGCTGTGTCTGTGGGGATGGTGTTCGCTCTGTGTTGTAGCGTCCTGATGACACCTAGTATGTGCTCCAGTGGAGGATGAGAGTCAAACCTTAAATACTGATCCGTATGCGTTGGTTTACGGTACACATGAACTTTTAAATGCCCCTTAAACCTTTCCCCACTGAAAACGCTACGTCCAGATGAACAGAATCAACTATTCAGATTTGTGCAAATCCCTCAATCTAAGAAGGCTAACGTGTCATTTTTCATATCCTCCCTAGTGAACTTGATGTGTGGTCCACCGAGTTAATCCATCCATTGGTGTTCCCCCGGATAAGCTGGAGGAGGTGGCTGGGGGGAGGGAGGTCTGGGCTTCTCTGTTTAGCCTGCTGCCCCTGCGACCCGGCAGTCCACCGAGTTAATGTGATCAGTGAATTTTGGTGCATCTGAGATTTCATTTTCACCCAGTTTTTATCCACATATCTGGTGTTCCAGCACAGGATAATAGAGCCCTCTTTTCCCCTTCTTCCATGTACAAGTTGCCACATTGGGTGAAACTGGGGAAGCCATGGCACACCCATGTTCCTGCCTGTAATACTGACCCTTGTGTGTGAAATATGCGAAATGAAGACACAATTCCAGAGCAAACATACTGCTGATACTGGTCCTGTTGTTGCTTGGATTAGTGAAAAACCTTTCCCCCACTGAAAAC